TTGGCCATAATGACTGCGCTTTTATCCCTTACGCTTCAATAAGTGATCAAACTTCCTTTGTTAGAGGAAATGACACATTTATTAACGCACACTATGTATGAATACTAGAGCAGTCGGTCTATACCTGCCGCTAAATCTGCAGCATACTAAACACGCCTCATGCTGCCTCTCTGTACAAACAGTGACAGGTTGAATGACAGCTTTCTTTTATTCCACCCATTTCGCTCTCGTTCATTTTCCCCTCTTTGTGTGTGTGTTTTTTATTTCAATACCCATTAGTCACTACTATTGCCTTTGTCACCATGGAAACTGGACTAGACATGTCTTCCTCGGTTCTCTAGGCTTCTCTAGTTCCCTCTCCCTGGTGGGCGGTCTCTGATTCTCTCCTCTGACTGACACCTCACCTGCCCTATACGCACACCAGAATATCTGTACATCTCTTGCCATATTCACACTACAGGTTACATAACAGCAAGCCTGCCTTAAATAACCTCTGTGAATGCCTATGTAGTAACTGCATAAAGAGTGGCCAACCATCACCACAGGCACTAGCTAAAACCAAAAGTGCTTTTTTTAATGAGAATTGCCCATCAAAATCATTCCTACTCTCAAAGTGGATGTTCAGGTTTATTCAGAAGCAAAGCATCCTGCGGGAGTTTTGGTGTGAATAAATCTGACCCGCAGTGGCATGCGGCTGCAACATCTGACCTTCTGTGCTTCTGTGCTTTATGAATCATAACAGCGTTTCCAAATGCACTGCAACACAAGTAGTTTCTTGAAAGCTTCCTATGAAGCCAAAAGCCCATCAGTTGTGTGAGCATACAGTTTTTTGCGACATTTCCAGGTGAAGCTGGATCAAAGCAGGGTTCGAATACAGCTGCAAAGCCATGTCACCGCACTCACACAGCATACATAATTTGAAAATAAGTGGCATGGCTGCGACGCTGTACGTGCACGAGATTCCCACTGTCAAGCATCAGCCATGTCACATAACATAGCATCCACACAGCTTGTGATGGCATTCAAAATACTCTCTTCCGTGGTGCGCTTGGACACTGCTCAACAACATTTGGAATAGCAAGCAGTCTCTTGGGAAGTGGGCTAATGTTTTTAAAGGGGTCATATGATGCCATTTCAAATTTTCCTTTCTCTTTGGAGTGTTATAAGCTGTTCGTGCATAGATAAGATCCCTAAAGTTGCAAAGACTAAAGTCTCAAACCCAAAGAGATATTCTTTATAAAAGTTAAGACTTGTCCACGATCTCCTAAAACGCCTAGTTTAAACACACCCCCACATGTCTACATCACTGTGTGGGAAGTTTTGCATAACACCGCCCAAATGTTCACACAAAGAAAGAAGGCGTAACTTTTATTCTCGCTGTAGTATTGTTGTTGCCGCCGCCGCGCTGTGTGTTTCGTTGTGAAAGCGAAACTACTTTGTTTGGCCTTCCAAAAGAGGACGATATTCGCTTCGTCATGCCTAGAGCTGATCCGTGCTGGTCGCTGAGGAAATACATCAACTTCGCGCTGTGGATTGCTGGATCGGCTTTCACCGTGGATGAAGCGGAATCCCGGGGGTGGGGTCGTCACATGTGGTTGCCGCAAGCTCGCCGTGTGACGCTGTGTGTTTCGTTGTGAAAGCGAAACTACTTTGTTTGGCCTTCCAAAAGAGGATACAACTAGAAATCAGTGGTTAAATTGTATTTACAACACTGTTCCAGAACAGTTCTTTATTCTTATTCAGATGTGTGCAGCACATTTTATGGAGGACTCTTTCCTGAACCTGCAGAGTAGCCTACAATGCGTCTGTGCATAAAGGCTGTTTCTATAAAGTGGGGCAGTTCCAACTTTGCAAGGACAGTCTGGCTCTTCTGACTCACAGCCTGTAAGTAAGTTTTTTAAATTTAAAGAATTTGCCACTGACTATTCAAACACGAGTTTTGAGTAGTGTAGAGTAGCGCTTGTTGTTTGTTGCTTCTCTGATCACAAATGCAGACCTGGGGCCTCATTTATAAAATGTTGCGTATAAACCATCCTAAATTTGTTCTAAGATCATTTCTCAAAAGTGTGTAAGTGCGATTCAGAGAAAACGAACATGCGCACAAAAACATGCGCGTATGCCTCTCTTCCAGATGTGACATTTATAAATCGCAAATGATCTTGAAATTGTGCGCAGCTGACTGGCGTCAGATCTCCGCCTTGTAAACGCCCCCCTAATTAATATCATTACCATATAAAAGAGCACACGCCAATATCCGAATTTCTATGCTTGAGAATGACGAGCACAAAGAAAAGAAAAAACTTTACTTTTGAGACTTTACTGAATCTGAAATTGAGGTCCTACTGGTGGAGGTAGAGGTTCGTGCAGGGACGCTTTTTATTTAATAATGTGTAATTATTCTGTGTACAAACTGTGTTATATTTTTTTCAATTGACTATTATCAAAATTACTACTTCTAGAAACAACAGAAATAATAATAGTATTTATAAAACAATTAGGTTTCCAAATGTAAGAATAAACCACAAATTCAAGTAACATTTTCAGTCATCTTATAAAAAGTGAGCCGTCCTACTTTTAAAATCACTTGCTATGACAACTAATAAAAAGTTTAATATCACAAAATTCTTGCAAAACTTTAACAAACATTATTGAAAGAAAAATTGGACATTTCATATCATAATAAAATTAATTATTATACGATTATGGTCTCCAGTCTGAAAAAACCTGCATGTGATTTGGCATTTCTTTATATTTACACAGTTTACTAATGCTACTCAAATGTGCCATTAATGTACTGACACAAAAATATAGTGTATTTTATACAAATATAACTGATGTAAATGACAAAAATAAAGTTTAAGGCTGATGTCTCTATTCATTTTCACAGAAGCAAAGCAGCAGATGATATAAATAAAAACAGTTAACAATGTTATTGAATAGAATATATTAAAAACCGTTATTGCACGACATAGGCCTATTCTTATAGGCTACACAGACAAAACTGTCAGAGATGCGTTTATGCAATTTTTTTTCTATTTTACACATTAGTAGTAAATAAAGACTTCGCAAGTTCTCTTGTAAAATAAAATAATTTAAAAAAAACATGGAATAAACTGTGTACAGAAAGCGAGTAGAGAACTCTCAACATTAGGCTACTAAAAAGGTCAGTTTAATCTCGTAAAAACTCCCGTTAATAAAAAATCTGACTACACTGCACAATTAATCTCTTACTCTGCATCTAGGTTAGGTTAGGTTACTTTATTCATACCCGGAGGTAAATTTGTCTTGCAGTAAAATGACAGTGACAACCATCCATAACACAAATTCAAAAAACACATTTAAAAATATAACACAACAGATAACAAAAATATGATACAAGATACATGATATAAATTCTCCAAGACTCCCCCATCCTACAGCTTATTTAACACAGTTAAAACAGCGGGAACAAAGCTGTTTTTATATCGCTTCATTTTACACCTTGGGATTAAAAGCCTCCGCCCAGAGGGAAGAAGCTGAAACTCACTGTGCAAAGGTTGGGAGTCATCATTTAAAATAGAAGTAGACATTCGTTGCAACTGTCTGGTATATAACGATGTTGGATCCAACTGTGACTCACCCACCAATCGACTAGAGCATTTAACTATCTGGTTTAAAGAATTTCTTACTTTTAAAGATGTTTGTCCAAACCATACGACCAGAGAAAAAGACAAAACTGATTCAATAAAAGCACGATAAAACATGATCATTAACATGATCTATGTTGTTTATGATGAATTCGGTGCTTGCACATACACCGCTTTTATTATTATTGCAGCTTAGATATTCAAATAGCTGCAGTACTCCGACTTTGCCACAAGGAAAAGTGCGTACACCTGCTCAGACCCTGACGTGGCGGTAAGTACTTTTCCACGTCAAAGACTGTTTTTATAAATATGAACGTTGCCGTGGATTTTAGCGTATGCACACTCTAAGATCAAATCTGTGCGTACGCACATTTTATAAATGAGGCCCATGGTTTTATGTTTACGCGGCGCGATACGCAACGCAATGCGTAAAAAGACAGTATAAGTCATTATAATCAGTAATTATGTCCCCACTGGATGCAACAAATGCCTCGTTTATAATGGGATTTATTGGTGTTGTCTCGTCGTGCCGGAACACGGCATCACAGTATGGTAAGGGGCATAACATTTCCGTCACACGCTTGAGATATTCAGCCAATCACAACACACTGGATAGCTGGCCAATCAGCGTACACCTCGCTTTTCATAACGATGAGCTTTGTAAATATTGATGCGTTTCAGAAAGGCGGGACATAGAGGAGCAACAATAATGTACATTATGTGGAAAATAATGTGTTTTTTGAACCTTAAACCACATAAACACATTGCATTACACCAAATACACAACATAATGTTCATACGTCATATGACCCCTTTAATGCAAGAACACGGAGCAGTTCTTGAAAAGTGTTGAAAAGAAAATCAGATGTATTTTCCACTCTGTATTATTCCATTTGGTTCCATTCAAAGCAGTTCCCGGGAGTTCCATCATTGCAATTAAATCTCGGAATGGTTATTTCAATGAACGCTTCCATGTTGGTGAATCCATTAAAACATGGTATTGCAAAACAGTGGTGATGCAATCCACTAGTCATAGTGCATCTTCACACTCTCAGAAGCGCACACACAAACTTCCAGCAACATCACTTGTGAAACACAAACACACGCATACACACACACACACACACACACAGGCGAAACAGTGAAGAGAGTGGCATAAAACACTGAGCAGATGTTTCACATCTGCAAAACACTTCAGGGAAAGAGCCCACCACTGATTTGAAATTCCAGGGGCCAGTTCTCCAAAACTCACACATCCTGGCTCTTTCTGGTTGATGTTATCATTATAGCTGTGACTGATGCATTTAGGAGCATACAGAGCATCTCATCTACACGTCAATTGTGTTGGTGTCTGTGTGTGTGAGCAATACTCACTGTGATTTTAGTCTCCTTGATCTCCTTTTCCTTATTCTGCCTCCTGGCCAGGGAGGTGGACCCTGGGCTCTGAGGGGACAGACAGGAGGCATCATCTAAACTGCCCTCTGCATCAAAGCTTTCCTCCATCTCCATTGCTCCGTGCCTCCTCTCTTTCGTTCTTTCTTTCTCTCGCTGTCTCACTCTTTCTGCACTTTCACGCCGCTGCTCTGCCACACCGCTCGAGTCCCGCACGCAGTCTGACTGCCTGTTTCTGTTGCTGTGGCGAGCGATGCAGAGTGGAGTGTGTGTGTGGTGGGGGGACTCGGGGGAGGTGGGTCGTGGAAGCGTGACAGAGTGTGAGGGAGAGAGAAACAGGCAGAGAGAGTAGGTGAGGTACACAAGACTTCAACAACACTTCAGAGGGCACACGGTCGACAGGAAAGAGGGTAAATCTCTTTTCTGATGTACAGGCCAGATTTCACCACAAAATCAAAAGGAAAAAAAAAAAAATAGAGAAAAATAAATTATAATTTGTTTAATGAACCAAAGCCTGTTTTTAGGACCATTAGCATTTTCTTTTTGCAGTAATTTATTTTTAATAGCACACTTTTCACTGTAATGCAAAAAATAAAAATAAATAAATAATAATAAAAAGTCTTATACTGTTTACTGTAATGTAAAAAAAATTGATGTTACTACAATTTGAAAAATAATTTATTAATGTTTTTTTTATTTAAATATAACAAAACATTCAAGAATAGGAGGAGCAAATTACAAAGTTCATGGCAGTGTATGTATTTTAAGTTATGCTAATAAAATGAATAAAAACAGTGTTGTGGAATCAGGGCGATATTTATTACTGTACATTTTAGTAAAAATAAAAATGTGTTTTTAAAAAAAATAATTATAAAATAAAATATTATGTGGAATCAGGATGAAAAATGTGATTCTTTACCCAAAGAACAGTAATAAGAATTTTGGAGAAAATGTGTCTAATTGTCATGAAAACAAAGTTTACCTTTCATGGTAGTGTACATATTTTAAGTGATGGTATGGAAAAGAAGAGAAAAGAAAAGAAAAGAAAAATGCAAAACTAAACAAAACATTGTGTTATGTCAGGGTGATTTCATTACCGTAATGAAATTTTATAAAAATGTGCTTTTCTCCTACAGAAGTGTAATGAGAATTTGGGGGTAAATGTGCTTAATTGTCATGAAAAGTCACAATGAGAAAAAAAAAGCAAATACATAAACTGAAATCTTAAATAAACATACAAAATGGGGTTTATGTTCTTATATAATATAAAAACAGACATATTTTACTTTTTTCCCTCTTGTTTTTGGGGTAAAATACTGGTTAAAGGTTTCTTTGTAGAATTCAGTCAAGAAAACAAGAAGTCCAAAAAAAAAAAAAAACTATAAGGAGCTGTATATGCCTAAGAAAGATGGTTGAGAACAGCAGATAAAACAGCTCTTAGCATGCTGTTATGCGGTTGCTAGGGTGTTCTGAATGGTTGCTAGGCAGCTGCTTACTGGTCCAAGTCAAAGAACCCACCCCAAGTCTCTATGATATTCTGGGCTTTAGTTATGACTCTAGCCCCTCCTTCAAATCTATGTTTTTTTTGTTGTTTTTTTTACCAGTTTATTGGTTCTCCTGGAGTAAAGATTGTAAGTCTGATGTCTCAGAAAAGTAATGACACAAATTCCCTCAACAATCAGCATTATAATTGAGGTCTCATTCACATGGTGCGGGGTGAGCAATAAGCTAAAGTTCAATATCTAAAGCGACAGCGTGTGACCACAAATTTAAATAACAATATGAATAACTACAAATAAACAAAAGAGAGGTAAAAAAAATAGGAGAGCACAGAGTGTTAAAATGACGGGAGGGAAAGGATTTACTCAAATGGCACCACACCCCCTTCATTCTCTACAGTATATGTATGTTTGAGCAGAGAGGAGGGGAGGAGAGAGATGGAGGAGTGGTGAAATGGGGCAATGATATGTGAAATTGACATATCATTGGAGGTAAGCTGCAAACAACAGCACGCTGTCAGCAGAGACAAACCACATGACCTGTGAAAACAAAGCCATTTCTCACCGTGTGCGTGTGTGTGTGAGTGCTGGCGTGAGCTTATCTTTCAGACAGGCTGATGTTTCAAGGTATATGTATTCCTTTTACATCAGTGTTAGAGCTTTGAGAGGTGTGTGTCCAAGGCTGGTGAGTGCGAGTATGATTATACGCCTTATTTTAAGCTGCAGACGCTGCATCACCATCCTTGTGTGAGCAGGTGTTGCAGACTGTGTGCTAAGCGTGTGTATAAGCAAACATCTCCCAGCATGCATCAAACGACGCTACCGCCCCTCTGTGCTTAACTGTACTAGCATAGCGCGTGTGTTTGCATTGTGTGCTGAGCGTCTGTACACTTATTTGCACGCACTCCATCTTTCCAATAAAAAACATGGCTGGTACATGGCCAAAAAAACAGCATGCATAGTACTTAGTACAACGAGGAGCTAACGAACATGCAAAATCTCATTTTCTGTCTTACCATCCTGCAGAACATGTCAGCACCAGCCCGCAACTTGCGGTTCCGTTCCTTATCGCTCACCCAGTCCCGTTCAGCAACTGTTCGGCACCCTAGACTCTCCCTTGTCTTCTCCGTCTAACCCTTCCAAGCTCCGCTTAAACCCAACACCTTTCCAATCCTGGCCTGAGATCAAACTCTAACTGCGTACGAGGATCCAGAACTGGGTAAACAACAAAACAACAGCACGCCATATGGCCTACTCCTTGCCACTCCCATTTGCTGATGACATGAGCTGCCCTTGTCACGTGGGATAGGGAGGGTTTTACTTGGCCCTGCTTCACCAGCTTCTTTAACTGTTACTGTCCCCAGATTGGCGCAGATGGCACCAGATCTACTGACTCACATATTTCTGTCCGAATCCAAGTAGTGATGGAAGACCAAATCATTTGGTATTTGTAAACTGTTTGCACTTCATACTGGGAATTATTCCACAGAAGATTAAAGTCATATTATGCCTTACTCAATATAGTATAAGTGGGTGATAGCTCAGAATGGGACTGTACCTGGTTGCTGAGCCTGGTCTTCCTCAGGGACACATCTGGACGCTCCAGCACATGTCCAGAGGCTCCAAGAAGCTGACGTCCATTTACTGCAACATAAGTGGCAGGAAGTGAGTCTTCGTTAACTTCAAAGGTTTCCCATGTATAAATGTTGGTGTGATATAGTGATTAAAGCTCAAGACTGATAACCAGAGGGTTGCCTACTAATCAATTTCATTGATACATTGCACATAAAGAGATTATTTATTTTGCTTTCATGGTGGAAGAGCAAGTATCAGCTGAATGATTTAACTAAAGAAATGATGCATTGACATAAATTGATTCGTTATCCACTCTCATAGATTTAGAGAGTTCGTTGAGTGATGGAACTGTCAAATTGATTAAACTAGTAACTGAGTATGACTATTTTGACTATTACTATACAACTCATTAAAAGGAACCGATTCAAACAGTGATTTGAATTGGACTACACAGATTGTGCTATTGTTTGTTTTTGCATGCAGCCTATGAGGAGCGACGCTGCTGAAAAGAAGTATGGGAAACACTGCTGTGACTGGTGGCACACTTTTTGCATATCATGCCAAAAGTATGTAAATATTAGTTAAGATCCCCAACAAACTTAAATGTCTCATATTTCTAAAATGGTATAAATGCACAATCATTCTCATTTTTGCACGATTTCCTCTGCTCATAAAAGTCTGATTGAAGTGCCCGATACTTACACAATATAGGGCATGTTTTAGACAGCAGTCAACATTTTTATGTCAATAGTTTTATGTATTCATCAGTTTATGTGAGCGCTGAAGCATGCACACTGACTTAATAAACACTTATTGACACCACACTGAAGCTAATGTGCAAGATAATCAGTGTTGGGCATGTTACTTCCAAAATGTAATACATTATATATTACTAGTTACTGAATTTTTACAGTAATTAGTTACATTACAATATTACTGTCTCTGAATTGTAATGCGTTACACTACTTTTGAGTTACTTTCACCAAAATATCCACAGAAGTATTATAAAATGCCAACATGTAGTTTATTGCTGCTCTTTCTACATCCAGTGGAGGGTAATGCGGTAGGTCTATATAGCATAAAATTATAAAATCATATTTAGATACCGGTATGTAGGTCTACACTAATGTTACGTTGTAGTTTAGGTTAAACACAGATAAGCATAAACTGCATTATTTCATTAATAATAATACTAAATAACACCAGTAAATAAAGCGAAATGTTATAATGTACAAACAATAAACACAATACCTAGCCTATAGGTGTCACAGTGCCCATCTCACAAATGTAGAATCCGTATCTGCAGTCATCTCAACCATCTAATTCCAGCAACAGGAAATAGACTAACTATTTTTCGGAATTTTTTCTCTGGTGCTGTTTTGCGGTGTTGGTAAATTCACCACTTAATTTTCAGTTAAAATATGTTGTTGTAACTTGCGTTACTGAGATTGTAACGAGTAATAATATTACGCTAATTCAATGCGAAACTGAAAGCAAACGGCGTTCTCGCGCAGCCTACCTCATTCTCATTCGGCATTAATCCAATTAAATGTGTCCATATTTGCGATGTAGTTGAATGCTAAACTATTATTTATTATGTAAACCAGGCTTACTTAACGCGCTTAAAAAACATCCTCGTCACATGGTCAAATGTGTGTTTGGCCCGACCTCTGGCTGAACGGCACAGATTGTACGCAGTACGCACTATTTAAATTAACCAGTGTATCTATACGTTTGGTTGACTGTATTTTATTCTGATAATGAACAGGCTGCAACGTTTGCAATGCTGTAGATGTGTGTGCGTGAGGCGCCAGCGCGATCGAACAGCAGAAACAAACAATAAAAAAATAAGTCATAAGATCATTTGAAACTGCAATGTGTTTACTTTTATTTCTGTCATCTCGGTTTCCTTTCCGT